TGCTTGAGCCTGCTGCCCTACCCTCTCTACACTCATTTGTAAAGTGCAGGTAACATTTCTTTTCCCTAGGCAGAAACAGATTGAATTATACATCTGAGATCAGCTAGGGCTTGCAGTGTGAATGTTGGCACCACAGAATAGATTCCCCCTGACTCTGCTATTTTTCATGATGCCCCACACAGAGCTTCTGGCCAGATATTCTCATGTAGCAAAGGGACCAGATTAAGAGGGACCTAACTGTGTAATAGCCCAGGAAACCTACACCAACTCATTATTCTCGAGCTACTTGCTAACAGGTATAGAACCAGAAGTGGCAGACCTGGGATTTGTCTCTCTAAAGATGAAGCTTTATAAAACATAATTACAATACCATTATCGCATATATAACAAAATTAACAATAACTCCTTAATTTTTTTTGTGTTAGTCTGCCTGGGCTGCCATAACAAAATACCATAGACTGGGTGGCTTAAACAAGTGAAATTTATTTCTCATGGTTCTGGAGACTGGGAAATCCAAGATTAAGATGCCAGTCTATTCAGTTTCTGGTGAGGGCTCTCTTCCTGGCTTGTAGACAGCTGCCTTCTTGCTTTGTCCTCATATGGAAGGGAGAAAGAATGAACTGTCTCTTCTTATAAGGACACTAATCACTAATGACCTATGACACCACCCTATGACCTCATTTTACCTTAGTTACTTCCTTACTCCAAATGCAGTCACAATGGGGGTTAGGGCTTTGACATAAATTTTGGGTGGATACAGTTCAGTCCATAGTATTCCATAAAACCTGATCTGTGTTTGGTATTGCATAATTGTCTCAAAAATGTTTTGTTTTTTTGTGTGTTTTTTTTTTATATAGTTGGTTTGTTTAAATTAGTATCTACATAAAGTTCACACATTGCATCTGGCTGATACATCTTTTTAAAATTGGTAACATTTTCCTATCCCCATCTTTTTCTCAGGCCATGCATTTATTAAATAAAACTGGACATTTGGATATCAATTTTCCTGTCTTCTGGATTTGACTGATTGACTCCTTGGGTCACTTAGCATATTCCTCTGTCCCCTGCAATTCATTTGTACTGATCAAGCTAGAAGCAGGTTTAGTTTTTCTTTGGGGGGTGTGGTGGGGTGGTGTAAGAATAATCATAGGTGGTGCTGTGTGTTTCCTATTGGGCCACATCAGGAGACACATAATGTCCTGTCATCGTACTTTTGGTGGTGCTAACTAAGGTTGATCAGTAGATTCAGCTGATGTCAACCTGATCCTTTATGAAGTTCCCCATCGACCCCATCATTTAGTATCTATTGGTGATCATTACCTTGATCCATTTTTTCATTAGGAGTTGCCAAAAGGTGATTTTTTTTTTCTAATTCTATCATTCCTTATGTATTTATTAGCTAATTCTTTTATAAAGATCTTCCTCTCATAAACTCTTTGGTTACTATGAGATACAGTTTGTACAACAAAAGCAGGATACAGACTTCTTTCCTTTTATCAATTTTCAGAATAATAAATTGCTACTGTAGTAACCTCCAAAGATGACCAATGAGGTGATTTGTTTGTAACTTAAGGAATTTATGGGTTTAATTTATGGATTTTTATTTAGTTGGTGTTTTAACCCATTGCAATCATTATTCTTTTTGATGCTCAAATTGTTCTATCTTTTGCCAGTGGGAGTCCTTTTAAGTTGGCTCGTGAGTCATTTTCACACAACAGTGGTCTTGAATAACCTGTTTACTTTCTGGCACAATAAAATGTCCCAGGCAGGATCATCTTGCATATTTCTGGCCCCAGCCTTGGAGTCAGCCATTTCTCCAAAGTGGGGATGGGTCTAGTACTTTAAAAGTGAAAAGTCTGGGCCGGCCCGGTGGCGCACTGGATAGTGCGCCGCTTGGGAAGCGCGGCGGCGCTCCCGCCCGAGGGGTCGGATCCCACATACGGACCAGTTCCCGCTCACTGGCTGAGCGAGGCGCGGGAGCAACACCGAGGGTTGCGATCCCATTGCCGGTCCCCGGTCCGGTACGGGGGCGACACTGAGGGTTGCGATCCGTTGCCGGACACGGAAAAAGACACACACACACAAAAAAAGTGAAAAGTCTCCCTTGTCCCAGGAGCCCCACTTTCTGTAGAATAAAGGGCATTCCTCACAGTGTAATGTCCACCCACATCTCTGTTCCATCTCCTGCCCTACTCTTCCAAATATGCTGAGCTATTTATCATTTCCCAGACAAGCCATTCTCTCCCTATTTGGGACTTTGTGTATGCTGGTTTCTTTGCCTTGAATGCCCTTCTACTCCTGGTCGCTCTGACTTAGGGCAGCCCTTGCCTCTTCTGTGACTCCTTCACCTAGTCTGGCAGAACTAATGACTTAGGCCGTCATCTTATGGAGTTTGGCAAGTTATCGCAGCAGTGAAAATATATCATCCAGTGTTTGTTTACTAGACAGCTTCCTTCCTTGAGGGTTGCAAACACATGTGAGGCATACGTAGCAGGCACTGAGCGTTTCCCTTTGTTGTGTCTGTTTCCCAAGCTTGGCGACCTTGGTCTCATCTCTTTCTGTTCTGGCCTCTGTTTAATTCATTTCACCAAACATTTCACAGAGCACTCTCTAATTAAACAACTAAAGAATATTTACTGAGCATCTGCTATGCCAAATGTGCTTTACATAATGATTTTATTGCAACCTGTGAAGTAGGTATTATCTTCATTTTAGAGACAAAAAAGAGGAAGTTCAGCGGGGTGGCAGAAGATCCCACAGCTAGGGAATGGCCTAGCTGGGATTTCTTTAGTGGGTCCAACTCCCAAATCCCAAGATTTTCCCTCCACATCATTGTCCGTCAAAATATGTCCATGATCCACCCATATCAGAAACCCTTAGGGAGCTCATTAAAACACATGCTCCCGGATTCTACCTCAGACCCATTAAATCAGAATCTCAGGGAGAATGGGGATAGAAAACTGAGTTTTTAATCAGCTTCCCTGGAATTATTTTAAACAATTATTATTTTTTTGAACAAGTGAAACACACAATAAAACACTCAAAAGGTTCAAAGGGTATAAGCGAAAAGCAAGCACTCTGCCCCATTTCAGTTGCCCAGGTCTCCTGTACCCCACTGCTCCCCAGAGGCAATCTCTTTTCCATGGAGTAACTTGAAGAACAACCGTTGTACTTATAGGATAGACCAAAATGGGCAGGTCGCTGCACTCCAGAGCTCACAGCAACATTGCAGGTAAGACTACCATCCAAGGACAAGTGCCTCAGGAAGGAATCCCAGAGTCATTAGCAAAGATGGCAGAGACTCCTGCTCAGCCCATGTCTACACCTTCTGTTTCTAGGACCTTCCAGTCTGCTTCCTCTGGCCACCACTTCACTAGCAGGCAGTCCCTGCGCAGGTTGTCTTATCACAAGCAAAGATGTGGAATGGAGGGGTGGGAAGGGAAGGGTAAGCCATGTGAGGATGAGCCAACGGGAGCCTGTACAGAGGTCTAACCTGGAAAGGTCTGGGCAGACGCCGGATACCAAAGCTTTCAACCTGTATTCTAATCATTTGTAGTTACCATTAACTTTTCCCCTTCGGAGAGATTCTTTAAAATCAGTGATGTTTAACATTTCTGAGGTCACAGACTCCTTTGGGAATCCCGGGAAAACTATGGACATTCTCCCTAGAAAAATGCACAGACAGCTAAAACTCCATAACGATTGGGGAAGCTTCACAGACCGCCAGCCTACCAGTCCAAGTTAAGAACCCCACTTTTAGATGTGTTCCTTGTCGTACTAAAACACGTGGTTTAAGAAAACTCTATATTCGCTTAGAGAACCTGAACGATGTCGCCACCTGCAGTGAAGCGCCCTGGCACGAACCAGAGGCCAGGTGGCCCAGGAGGTGGAGGAGACGGCGGTGGCGGCTTAGGGTCACTGCTCCTCATCACTGCGGGAAGGACCCACAGACAGGTAATGGCTGTCGTGCGGGGCGGGGGACGTCCTCCTCAGCTTTTAGAGCCACCCGGCCGGGCCCTCGTGCATTTCACCGGCTCTGAGTGCTGCACCTGCCCCCCTCCCTTTCCTGGGTTGCGGGGAGCGAACCCACCCCGACCGAGGGTGGGGGTGGGGGCGCGTCGGCGCAGGGCCTCAAGGGCTCCTCATTCATCATTGTTCCCCCAGCGCCTGGCACGGGCTGGGCCGCAGGGAGGGATGGTGGCCTGAGGCGCGCTGTCCTTTCCGCGTCGCCCGCCCGCCAAGCTCTCGGCCCACAGGTGTTTCCTGGGCTCCTCCCAAGAGCCGGTCCCAGACAGGAACAAGGGTCCGAGCCGGGCCAGCTGCTCGCCCGAAAGACAACCGCCGGCGGGTGCGGGCGGGCGCGGGGCGCACGGGGCCGCGGAGGGACCTGCGCGCG